ACTTAATAAATGTCACTCGAATTCTGACATTGCGAGAAACGGCACAACAATTTTCAAACTTTGAGTAATGCCATCTTCAGTCTGTTTTTTTTCAAAGTCTGTAGTTGCCTTTTTCAAAGTTTGGAAAATTTGCAGTGGCATTTTTCAAAATTTGGAAATTACAGTGGCATTTCCCGGAATCGCCGGAATTCGAGTGTCATTTCTCCAATTAACCCTAAATTGTAAGATATTTTGGATACTTCAATACGGACAACAAACAAACTGAAATGAGTGAAGAAATACACTAAAACACGTATGTATATATCTGATTCAAAAAAGGTCAGTACATCTTATAATAATGAATGGATGGAGTATTTTGAATTCTAATTCAAAGGAAGTTCTCAAAAGACTCGATTTTTCTTTGGGGGATCTTGGCAAATTAGTAAGAAAACGCGGAAGTGACTAGATTCCACATTTCAACACAAAACTATTCAAATAGTAAATATAGTCTTTGTACTAGGTGGTAAAATTGGAGTGTATGTGTGTTTGCAGAATAGCCTCGAGTCTATGCAATCGATTTATTTTTCCAGATAGAGTATTTTATGATAAAACCATACGGCTTGTTCGGTCGGGATTTGGAGGGATTAAATCCCTTGCAAGTCCAAATCCTACTCTATCCCGTTCAATCCTCTACAAAGCCTTGTGGGGAAGGGGGGGGGGGTTAACCGAACAAGCACTTACGAAGTTCACAACGAACCAATGGCAGTGTGTGGAGAGCAGTGATACAATATGACACACACCATATTATACCAGGACATAATCCCGCCAAAATGTAGAAGGACAAGCATGTGCCTACCTAGAAAGTCTGAGACATGCGCCATTGTACGACAAATCTGTTAGTGCTTGAGACCGATCACAATTCAGTGGTAAGAGCTTCTACATTTTGAATAGACCGAACATAAGTAGCATCATGCGGGAGTTCAAGTAGCTTCAACATGAATGACCCTTCATGAAATCGGTGGGAAAAATAAAAAAGATAGTGAACTGACACATGCTTTAGCGTAGTTAGGTCGTAAGGAGTTGTGCTTCGGTGTTTTGAAGGTGTTGTGCCAACCCGCCTGTTAAATCTAGCCTTGCTTGGTTGTAACAATGACTTTGTGACCTAATTAACCCACACTCAACCTCCACAAATTAATGACCTCGTCCCTATCGACTTATTCTGTAGGTCTCCCTCGCCTTTAGTGACCGATTCCAATGCCCCTAGGGATGGATCTTCACTCTCGTATGTAGATTTGCTCTAGTTCGTGAGAAACTGGCGTTGTCGTGCCATACGTACCTCGGTCCTTGTCGAGGTGGTACTGGTTCCAGCATCACTGTCGGGCACGTGATGGTTGCTTTCCCCTTGTCGGTCTACCAGGTTGTGGGGGAGGGGATATCGTCGACCAAGATGATTCCTCCTCGGTTTGTAGTGGCATCAGCGATCTCTTCAATAGGATCATATGACTGCTTTTTGGTGTTATATGTGGGTTAGTGTCTCTTCGCTCGATCTTTGCCCTATTCTCGACATTGGCGATTTGCGCTTCGGATCGCCGCCGTTTCCATCTCTCATTAGCATGCGTTGACTTCCGGGTCGCGGTTGCAATGAGTCCTTCGGTCCATGATAAGTACTAGGTGTGGCTTCAAGTTAGGCTCGCGGCATGCCATCTACTTGTGCACAACGACGAATTCCCCGTGAGTCCATTTGTAAAAAAATTGTAGGGATGCTCTCTTGTAACTCTCGTACTTGGTTAATTTATGGCTTCTTGCAAGGCAAAAGACAAAAGAATCTTTTTAAAATAACAAAAAGTTGTTCTCTAGCTCCCTTGGTGATGAAACTATGCAACCAAAGTTTAGGGATGGCCGATGTTGGTTTGGTGATATATTCTGTTGCCATTTACTTGGACAATTTTTGTCACATATAACCCACATTTGATTGGTCTAGTTTATTGTCATAGTTCAACCATGGGATTTGTACGCGGCTTCTTCGTTGGAATGGAGGGAGTGCGTGCTAACTTGGCATGCGGTAGCAGACACTCTTTTCATCGAGGGGCGAGTGAATCCATCTGGGGTCTAGTGTGGGCCAACCATCGAGTGTTTTCCCGCAAAAGACATTGACTTCTTGCCAATTAGGTCGGCAGTTGGATCGTCTAAAACGTAGAATTCAAGGTAAACTGCATTTTGATCCACCTATTTGTTGCCATTTCTAGCTGAAGTTATACATTTGTTAGAGAAAAGCATGAAGTTATGATTAATTTTATAAACTCACATAATCAATATTATAATGTATACCCAGTCAAAAAAACATCGTTACCTACAAAATGAGACTAGTACCGCATGATGACGGACTGTACATGTGGCTTTAGCGTGTGCATCACCATCACAAGTACTCAAGCAATGAACCACACTATGCAAGAACAACTTGCGCTATTCGGCAAAATTCCACATGCTCGATCGATATTTTTCCTATTTATCAAACCCCCGGATTATTAAAGGATGTTCATGTCAACTCGCTCTCCATATAAAACATTTTAGGTAGTGGTGACCTAAAATGTCTTACATTTATTTGCAGAGGGAATACATCCTACCAAACCAATGTGTATAACAGAACTTCAGATTTTGAGTAGCTCCTTGCTTTTTATATACAACACCCTTCCGTAAAAGAAAAACAGAAAGTAGGGAAGACCCTTTTGTTCCCCTAAAAGAGAAAAGACTTCATATTGTGAGCTAGTGGACCGTTAGTTTGTACTCCCTCTGTCTTTGAAAGTGTGTACTTCCAACTTTGTTGAAAAGTTAAACTTTTTTATGTTTCACCGTATTTATATAATAATGGACCAACATTTGTGCCATCAACCTAGTAGCATTGGATTCATGACAAAATATATTTTCATCATATCCGTATTTGGTTTCACAAACATTGACATATTTTTGCACAAATTCGATCAAACTTTTAAATAGCTTGACCCTCTAACAAAGTTGAAAATACACTCTTTTAAGGATGGAGGAAGTATGTGTACTTGCCGGGTTGTTGGGTATTGCTCCAGGAATTAAATTTTGGAACTCTAGCTAGTTGAATGGTCATTCCTACAAAAAATGCTAAACATACGAAATTATTTTACGTACCCTATGAACTTTCGTTCCCCACTAACCCTCCTAAAATGGGTGGGCCCATGCCCTCAACAATCTCCAATTAAAGATGACACATAATCTTGTAACGTCTCACATCCCGTAATCGACCGGAGGTGTAGCAAAGCTCATCATTCCTAGGCTGTTCTAGATCAGTGCACATGCCTAACCTACTTCTAGAAGTACAAATGTATTTACTCCCCGTGTTCGGTTTATAAGTCGGGCATATTTGGTCTTCAATTTAACTAGAACAATACGTACTTCCTTCGATCCATATTAATTATCACATACTTCCTCATTAATATAATTTCGTATGTTTAGTCCAAATCCTAATCTATCCCGTTCAATCCTCTACAAAGCCTTGTGGGGAAGGGGAGGGAGGTTAACCGAACAAGCACTTACGAAGTTCACAACGAACCAATGGCAGTGTGTGGAGAGCAGTGATACAATATGACACACACCATATTATACCAGGACATAATCCCGCCAAAATGTAGAAGGACAAGCATGTGCCTACCTAGAAAGTCTGAGACATGCGCCATTGTACGACAAATCTGTTAGTGCTTGAGACCGATCACAATTCTTTGGTGAGAGCTTCTACATTTTGAATAGACTGAACATAAGTAGCATCATGCGGGAGTTCAGTAGCTTCAACATGAATGACCCTTCATGAAATCGGTGGGAAAATAAAAAAGATAATGAACTGACACATGCTTTAGCGTAGTTAGGTCGTAAGGAGTTGTGCTTCGGTGTTTTGAAGGTGTTGTGCCAACCCGCCTGTTAAATCTAGCCTTGCTTGGTTGTAACAATGACTTTGTGACCTAATTAACCCACACTCAACCTCCACAAATTAATGACCTCGTCCCTATCGACTTATTCTGTAGGTCTCCCTCGCCTTTACTGACCGATTCCAATGCCCCTAGGGATGGATCTTCACTCTCGTATGTAGATTTGCTCTAGTTCGTTAGAAACTGGCGTTGTCGTGCCATACGTACCTCGGTCCTTGTCGAGGTGGTACTGGTTCTAGCATCACGGTCGGGCACGTGATGGTTGCTTTCCTCTTGTCGGTTTACCAGGTTGTGGGGGAGGGGATATCGTCGACCAAGATGATTCCTCCTCGGTTTGTAGTGGCATCAGTGATCTCGTCAATAGGATCACATGACTGCTTTTTGGTGTT